TAATTCACCCTTACTTTAAAATGAATTTTTTTACAGTTATTTAAGAAAATAGATGAAAATTGACCATTTTTCTCTTTTTATCGTCGAGGCTACTGATGTTGAAAGAAATACAGAAAATAGTTCTTTACTTATAGTTTACAAGAAAATTAATAAGAGGTCTCTGGTCTGAACTTAACGTGGTAAATCTTTCAACAAAGCAATATTGTGCAATTTGTATACAAATTTACATTTGCACTTTGAATGATATATGAGAAAACATGTTTTTTTTTTCTACTAGAATGTTAAGTTGGTTCTCGGATAAGGATTCCGTACGTTCGAATGAAAAACGGAACCCTTAGAGGGTCACTCGTGTGTCTGTCTGTCCGTTTTTCACTTCTGTTCTTATAAAATAAGCCATTATTTAACAAAATAATTATATAATTGGCTACTCTCGTGTTTTTTGACATCGAATTACAATGTCAGAAAGAAAATAAATTATTTTAAATTAAATTATTAATTTATATACAAAATAGATGACCGCCAGAGGGGCCTAGGGTTCATTTGACATTTAATTTGCTTCTGGCTACAAAAATGTTATCCACCCTAGTTGACGTCGACCAATAGTTGTGGATAAAAAGAATTGTACAGCGGTCAAAATATCCTAATATAATTATATCAACGATAATCGTGCTCCAACAATCTTTCTCGATATTCTCAATTAACCGATCGATGAATTTTTTTATTGAAAATTGGAATCCAAAATCTTTACGATTATTCTTTGTTTAACAAATAATGACTACGCCTATTAAGTCAGTAGAAGTAAGTATGTATTCGTTAAAAGCAAGTAATTCGTTAGCTTTTCCAAAAGCACGTTAGCGACAAGCCGGAATTACGACACTGAGATGATTTCTCAAAAGTAATTAGTTACTTCAAAGGGATATACGTACATACAAGAATGTACTGACAAAATTAACTGTGAGATTGGAATTTGTAAAGTGAACATAAAGTAATTTATAAAAGCAACATTACTTACTTTTACAGAGAGTACCTAATTTAGAAAATACACAAAAATGTTAATTTTCAAATTAAGTAATACACTAGAGACTAAATAGTATATTCATTTCGACCTGCATTCTAGAAATAGAAAGGCAAATAGCAAAAAGGAAAATATTGATATTAAACTAATAATAAATAATACAGTAAGTACAGTTATTCCTATCTCAGTGAAGCTGATACGATCCATTTGGATTCTATTCCACTTAAGTTCAAATGTTAACAAAATATTGTGTGTAGGTAATGTAGATATGTTATAATTGATCTGTAATCAACTTTTGTGCGACCCAACCCCTTAAATATTTCTTTCCCACTTTGGGATTCACTAACTTAGAGAACATTCCATGTAGAATGTAACGACAAAATCAAGCTTAGTCTAAGATTTTCCAATATTGGATCAACAAACCTATTGATGGCTGCCCAGTACTGAACCAAAGTTGGCGAAACGTTATTGTTCCGCTGAACATTGGCCCAGTATTGATAAAAGCACTTATAGATTGACCGAACATTGACCCAGTACTGACAAACCTGTAAAGTTGGTGAAATGTTATTTACCGTTCCTTGGCACTTGATTATTGGCCAAAGATTGATCCATTATTAACAACTTAACTGCCCAGTATTGGACCTTAACTTGATTAGTATTGGTCGTCAACTCCAGTATTTCATCCATGAGTCTTTACTGTACTTTTGTTACCATCTGTATCTATACTTAACAACAACCAGGAAGTACTGTTTACGTAGGTCGCAGGTGCATGTTGTACAATGTATCAAATGAAAGATCTCGGCATTCTACCTACATTAAAAAGAGTGCCTGGATGACTGATTACACGACCCACGCATGCCACAAGAATACATATTCTTCCATAAAATTTTTGCGTGAAAGAAATTGAGTTGATGTAAACGAGCGTTTCGCGAGTATCGCCACTCGTTAATGTCTTGTGTATTATGCATATGCTTAAGTTAAAAGAAAAGTGGAATGACCCGTCTATCCAGCCCCTTTGAGTAAACCCCAAACGAAATACATTATTATTTCTTATTGCATGTTATACACCTCCTGAATATTGGATGAAAGTTGTGTTATGGTTAATTAAGGTTACCATCGTTTGAAATTTAACGACAGAGTGTATTTCTGGGTTTGCCCAAGTTTGATCAAACCCGGGGTTGATCAGTCAATTCTGGGGAGCGCTTACATTTCGGCCTTTGATTGTGAAGAATATATTTGTATAGTCGTAATAGGTACCAAATAAAAGGTACCTACATATGTCTATATGTCAAAAAAGCTCAAGTTCATGGTAGCAATGCCCACAGTCTATGTGGCTAAAGGTACAGGGATGTTAAGCATAAAGTCGGACTCATACATTTTGGAACTATTATAGTTACTTGTTTCTAGTAAATATCAATTTTGTAAAGTTAGAAATAAAGTAAGTAATATTATTTTCTTTTGTAGGGGATATTATGGATATACTGGCATTAACAAATTCGTCAATAAATTTTGTATTGTATTGTACAATGTCCAGACAGTTTCGCAATGCTTTTGGAGAGAATCTGAGACCGAAAATTTTTAAGTACTTCAGTAGAAATAAAAAAAATTCTCCGAATCATTGCAGCAGAGAAGGACAATTCACCCAAGTTACTCAAGTTTAAGTTTATAGTATATTATTTATTTTTGTAAAATAAATTGTTTCATTAATTACATTTTCTTTATTCGCTCCGAAATGTACCTTTCTATTTTCAAGGTAAGTAGTTACATATTTTTGATGTTGAAGCATCTGAGTATATCCAAAGCACGTATAATTTAACTATTTTTACTAAATCTAATACGTTTAAATTAAGTTTTAAAATAATTTTGAAATCTTAGTAATATGTATATAAATAGACAAAACTTTCCAAAACTACCTCCATTATTGTTTTATTCCCTCTACAAAAAGGACTAATTAAGTGGATTTTACATTAATATGCAATTTACTACCTTAACTTCTCAGTCATAGGTGAGAACATTTCAATACTTCTTAATTTCCCAAAAATTTTTCCCAAGTTAGGCAACACACAGCTCGACAAACTTGGGTCTTAACTTTATTGAACTACACATTATACTTAACTTTTTCTTCGACAGTTGTTAAATGTGTTTTGTTTGGACAGGTTACATTAAATTTTGTAAAAAAAAAAGAAATTACAAGCTTATCGTTTTGAAACAACTTAATAGTGTTTATTTTATTTTTATGATTTAAGCTTTCAATATTATAAAAATAAGATGCTTAATTTATGTTTCCAATTTTTGATAGATTATTACTTAACTCAATTTACTATACTTTTGTAGCAAAATGTATCCTTGGAAATAAAAATAATTTCCTCAACAAAAAAACAAAATTAAATGGTATTATGTCATTGACAAAAAAAGAAGCGTAGGTACACGACATAGGTGTTACTTACTTTTGGCTAGTTGAGTTTCAACAACATTTAGTGTTACGTACAACTTGGTACGTTTTTTTTTTACGAGAAAATAATTATATAATGATGAAAATTACATTGCTCTCTCATTGCTAGATATATCTACTGGTTTTCTCTGTAAAAGCTTTCAAAGAGCATTTTTAAGGCATTTACGTTATCAAATTTCTAACCAAAAACGTATGGAATGTTATCTCAAACGATAGTACGGTTTGGTAAACAAAAATAATCTCGACCTTCAATAACTGATAAAGTACAAACATTATCAAACGAATTATTTTATACATTTTTGTTTTAGATTTATTATTTTAAATTTAACATTGTATAGACATAATTAAATATTTGTTACTTTATGTTTTATTACGATTTCCCGTTTTTTATTTCGCCTTAAATTCACTTAAAATGATGGGAGTGATTGAGAATATAGTTTAGTATCAGTGTTCTTTCTTCATTGTTCTTCATTTAATGCATTGTTTTCTTGCTCCTATTACATACACCCTCGCGAGTCGACTTTGGAGTAGAATATATTTGTAAATAATACAATCAGATGTTTGTGACATGTGGTTAGTGGTAACTCAACATTGTTTAATGAACTTATTTACTGTTAACATTGAAAGCAATTTACTTATTTCTTATTTGCTTATTATACCATTAATTTAAGAACTAAAAAATTAACATGAATAAAGTGTCTGTCAAAGATGAAAATTATCCTGATGAACATCCCAAAAATTTGATTCCTGAATTGTTAAAGCAGTTTTATTATCTAGGATGGGTTACAGGAACAGGTAAATAGAAAAAAAATACTTATACGTATAATTATGTTAGAAAGTAATATAATGCTTTTATAAACATTTGTACGGTTTTGGCGGCCATTTTATTCCAGTGGCGTAGGTACAATGTTACGTTTTTTTTTTTAAAGTTTTTTCTTATTATTAAGTAATAATGTGATCAGACTTTTCCATAGTAATTGATTCACCCTCAGTGTATCTGATGAGTATTATTTTTGTACAGTAAATTACTAAAAAAGCCGATAACGCTTATAACTTGTACTCTATAATGGCACCATGGACCATGTCCCTTTTACTATTTTATTGGTTTCGCAATTAACGTCTTAGAATTTTATAGGGGGTGGAATTAGCATAAAACACGAGGAAAAAATTTATATAGCACCATCCGGTGTTCAGAAAGAAAGAATATGTCCAGAAGATATGTTCGTTCAAAATATCCAAGGGGAAGACCTAGAGCTTCCCCCATCACATAAAAAACTCAAAAAAAGTCAGTGCACTCCCTTGTTTATGTGCGCATATGTACAAAGAAATGCGGGCGCAGTTATTCACACTCACTCAAAATTTGCCATGTTAATTACTTTGGCCTACCCCGGTAAAGAATTTAGATGTTCGCATTTAGAAATGATAAAAGGAATTAAAAATCAAAAACTCGGAAGAAATTTAAGATATGACGAAGAGCTTGTGGTTCCTATAATTGAAAATACTCCTTTTGAAGAGGATTTGAAAGATAGAATGGCAGAAGTTATAAAAGAATATCCGGAAACCTGTGCTGTTTTAGTTCGAAGACACGGGGTGAAATAGAGCAAATAAATAATTTGATTTTTGTTTAAAGTAACATATTTATTTTTAGGTATATGTTTGGGGTGACACTTGGCAGCAAGCAAAAACAATGACTGAATGTTACGATTACCTTTTCGATGTCGCATTACAGTTAAAAGCGATGGGAATTAACCCCAGTACAACTCCTGAGCAATATGAGATTAAATATCAAATCGAAAATAAAAATAAATAAACGCAAAAAGTTTTCATTAACGATATATTTTGATATGTATTTTCATAGTCGATATTACTGTTTTAGATCTTTATTGGTATTTTATGCTTTTTATTTTTATTTTTTGAGATAATAAAACAAATTAAGTAAAATTAATAATTTTATTTTTCAACGAACAACATTTGTGAACAATTCACATTTTCACTCTTAAAAAATAAAACGTCATTTAAAATCCATAACAAGTAAATAAACATATTCATGGAAATGTTTCAGTAATCTCAAATGCATATGTATAAAGGAAAAGAAAACAAAAATAGGAAAACTCTTAAGGTCAAAATCAAATATAAATAAATCTGACAATAAAAAGTACTCTTTCAGTACTAAAAAAGTAGTAAAACGAACACTGTTAATTTACATTATTACGATGATAATTTCGATGAATATTGACCAAAAGTGATCTCCACAACTTAAATATAATTACACACAACATCACAACTCTTTGGTATTAGAATGCACTAAAACCCGTTGTCTTTTCGTAAAAAAGCATGTACGCAGTACTTTGTAACACCTCGTCGATTGATGCCTCCCTTATCTCAATGTCGGAAGTGTAATACCATCTGAAAAATAAAATGGAAATCAACAAACGTTGTCTAAATGTTGTAATTATAAATAAGTTATATTACTTTGAAGAATGGTAGCCTCTTCGATACGTAATAAAATGCCCCGAATGGGCGTTACCACTATGTACAATAACCGCTTGTAACTGGTAGACATTTTTAAACTCAGACGCTCTTTCTGAAAGGGACCCTGCTCCCCAAGCAGTCGGCATACTGTTCGAAAGGGGACTGCCACCCTCACTAGTACTAGTGTACATCTAGAATTAAAACTAATATTTTTGCAACCAGTACATCTTAAAGGTTTTTAAACGATTCTAATCATATTTCGTACTTACTGAAGATATAGTTTTTTTCTGATACTGAGCTTGGATAAAAGTGTATGCAGCCAAAGACAAACGTACTGGAAACTGTACAAAGTCCTGCCTTTTCGACATTGTGCCTGTTTGCCAAGTATTTCGGATTATATGAATACACAAGCAAATAGGTAACTAAAAAATTAAACATTTTAAAATAGTCAAATTTTGCTGAAACTTGTTTTTATTAATTTTAATATTCGTGAAATTTTTGAATTACTTATAGCATATTAACGCCAAAAAAATCCTTTCAAAATTCCTTTCCAATAAATAATTAAAAAAGACTAATTACTTTTCCAAAATTGAGTATCTTGATTTGTTTGGATAAAATCGGAGGAAATGAGGAATCACGATCACAATTGCATCCTTCGCAAGCTACGTCAGGAACTACTTCGGGAGTTACAAAATTAGTGAGCAACTGGTGCAATTTATGCCGACCCCACCCTAGGTCACCCATTCCACTGGGCAATGGAAGTGATAGGCTTTCGAATTTATCATATCGAACTGCTGACTGCAAATATGATAGTTACATGTATAACTTGAAGTCACATAGAGAAAAATTATTGTTACAAGTTTCTTCTAATCTATACTAGATGTACACCAACTTACCTTATAACCACACACTGTACACCTGAGTTGACTAGTGAGAGTCCCTGCAAATGGATGAGAGACTGGCTGGGGTGGAAGCCCTGCCAGATTCAAGCTACGACATGATCTTGATATCCATCGATATTTATGATTAGCTCCACCTCTCCAAAATAAACTGCTGGGCCTCGATAATTCATTTAATGACATGACACTGCTGCTTAAACTGGCTGGTCCTGCACTACTCTGTATTAATTCTGTAGTTGTCTCTTCAGGTTCTCCAAGTCCAAACAGTTCCCCACCACCTAATATATCAGAGAGACATCCTGACTGCAATATACAAAATTCAATATTAATACTAATTAAAAAATTTAAAAAGAACTACTTCACCTTTCGAGATGATTTTTGAACTTCTTCATCCAAAGTTGATAAAATGACATTTAAAAGTTCATGAGCATCTTGTTCACCTGCTGGGATAACCCATCCTAATCTTTTTAATGCATTTATCACAGCTGCAGGGGCATAGGTTGTTTCTTGTACTGATTTATGTGTCCCATTTACAACTACAATAGATATATTTTATAAAATTCCATATACCAACATGGGCATGATTATTAAATATAAAGACCTTCCTGTTTGATTTAAATGTTCTCTGTTTTGTTTAAAGTTCAGTAAATAGGTATGATATAACTATAAACCAACTTTAAAAACTACCTGACAAAACAGTCCTTAGTGTTGAACGTAAACTTGTGTCTCTAGCTGCAGGATCAATTTCTAGCCATGATACAAATTGTGCACAGGCAGCTAGAGCATGCAGAATTGCATTTAAGAAGCATGTCTGTCCTAAATTAACAAGACCAGCTAGTCTGCCTCTATTACTGCCAGAATGAGTAGAAGGACCCCAAAACACGAATGCTCCTACAACTGCAGCTGCAGTAAGCCCCGCTGCTACTAAAACTTTATCTGACTCCATATAACCACTTCTTCATCCCAAGTTGTTTCTTATCAGTATTTTCACTTCTCAAATAAGTAGCAGTTTAAAACAATCTACATTTTGATCAAACACAAAAAGATTGATATACCATAGTAAATAACGAAAGTTGTCCTGTTTTTATTTTCCTCTTCCAAGATGTATTTAATTTACTTAATATTACACTTATTTAACAGGATTTATATTTTGAGCACGTAATTTTTGTATTTGACATTTAACCAGTAATGACAGTTATCAAATCTTATAGATACTGATAGCAGTTAGTAATCTATGAGAAAAAAAGGTATATTCTATAGTTACTTTTAAACTGATATTCGTTACCATTTTTGGGCTATATCTATCTCACTAAGGATTGAAATTTTTATTTTCTATTTAGATGAAAACTGCTTTTTATGTTTGTAAGTTCTCTTTGTTCAATGAAGCATTACAAAATAAAAAATCTTACTGGACATTTTAAGTGTTAAGACTCTTAAAATTGTAATTAAAATGGAAATATTAAAAGACGAAAACATCGCTTTAAAACAAATCTTATAATTCCTATTAGAATGGCGTCTCAGACAATCCTATTAGAATGGCGTCTCAGACAAATATACTAAATAGACTGCAGCAAACGCCTTTCTTGTTTATTTTATTATACTGTTGGGGTGCAAATCTAGCTCGCCTCCTCGTGGTGCTCCCTGGGTAATGCTAAAGAGCTAGAATAGGTAATAGGTGTTTCATTATAATTTCGAGTTCCTTAACATATTTAAATGAATTGATATATTGACACATTATTCATTCATATTGAGTCAATAATGAATACGGATGGTTACTACATTTCTGTCGATTGTAATTGATGTAAAATAATAATAATTACTTTCGATAGTTTTCTTTTCGATTAGAGACGTCTTAATTCAAACAACATTTTTGTTCTTTGAGATGATTTGTATGAAATGAATTATCAGTGAAACGTTGCCTTTAAAATTCATTCATATTGAATAATAAGGGTGTTGATATATTGCAAGTCACCCCTACTTTAAAAATCTTAAAAACAATGCGCTGATTTTTTGTGACCCATATTTTGAGGCTTTTAATTTGATTACAGCGGTATTTTTAGTTTCTTTAAGTACTTTGCAAATAAAATGAAATTGCTCTGTTAAGACATGTATACATATACAGAATTAATATTGCGTAAAACTTTTGTTTGAAAAAGAAAACAATAAAATTGCCGACTTGTTAGATATTGCACGAAATGTTTGCCCTTTACAAATCCCCTTTTAAAACCAAATTTGTGTTTATTTGGTAACATGTTTGGAAAATCCATTTTTTATCACGTTCACGGACATCCACTATCATTTCCGAACAGAATATCGGCAAAAGACTCAGTTAACGTTGTTGTTATAGGATCGAATAAATCTCCTAATCCAGTGTGGATTGTCAGAAATCTCTACGTTTTAAAAAATACGAAAGAATGTTTCACTAAAGGAAAAAAGGGATTGGTACAAAAGGCCCTAATATCTTACTGTAAAACAAACCCTGCCGTTTAGAAAGTCACACATCTTTGGGAAATTGTGCAATCCCTTTTGCGGAAACTCGCGGAGAAATTATTAATGTTACGACCAATAAAAGACTCTGAAAACGAAAACACGGGGTGAGAGTCGATCTTTCCTAACGACTTCTTTCGTCCATTGGCGAAGAGCATTTTCAAAGTGGTGGAAAATAAAAACGGGAAGCAATGAAGTTTAACTAACGGATCGCCGTTTTTCCATTATTAACGAAAGAATTGGGGCTCGAAAATGGGCCAATTTTCTTAACGACCCTTGATATCCAGGGAGATCCCCACTGCGTAAAAGTTCTCTCAACCGAAGTCACCTACGTTTGGTTATAATAAAAAAATAAACCTTTTACTGGATATTCCCAGATGAGCTATTAGTTTTTTTTTTTTGTTTAAGGTAACATATGATATTTTCGCTGTAGTCATCAAAAGTATGTTGTGGAGTGGAGTGGGCGGTAAGATGGTTTACAACTTATATGACACTAATAAAAAAATTACTTATTCTTTTCTTGGGTTCGTTTTGTTATCAACATAGGTACTTTGTTGTTTACGTTTCCTTGAACATTCATCTTTGCAAGACTACAGTTCACATTCTCAATTTTTTTAAGTTTATCAATTTCGTAAACGAAGGGAACAGCAGAAAGCTCAGTTAATTTGGGTTTATACTGCCATAACTGTTTTCAAATTTCATTTATTTTAGTAATTCAATCACATCTTTCAGATTTGTCTTGTACAATTAGTTATCTAAGATTTTCTGTCTCCCGAATATCCGTCCAAAATTCAGATGACAAATGAAATGCTTATTATTTTCAAGGGTATATAATTATAATTAAATTTTGTCAGTATTTTTTGGATTTTGAATTATTTCACTTTTATTTTATTTCTTTTCTTATCCATTGTAGCCTCACCAAATGAAATTTAATTTATCATAGTCATTATCAATACATTAAATAAACGAACAAAATAACTGACATTTATTGTATTCGAATGTGAGATCGAATGTCCTATCCTGATCTATGTATGCCGGGCGTAACAACAGGGAGTCCCAAGGTGCCTAGATACCCCCTGACTCGTGGTGGACACTCTCTCCCATCAAAACTTCAAGTTTATTAAAACCCTCTTATTCTGGGACAGGACAGAAGGAAGGGCGTTTTTGAAATGAGAATAACTCAGCTGTTTTTTAACTTTCAAAAATTTGAAAACCACGAAAAAAACTTGTTCAGAATAAAGGAGATTGACATTAAACCATTAATGATGATGAGCGATAAGAATCGTGAGTGCTTCTATTAACGAATTAACAGCTCGAATAATTAACACAATAAATACTTGGCTTCAATAGAATTGCGCCACAGCGTTTTTGTTTCCATGATTTTACCTTTTTATTGTTAAATTATTAAGTATATAAACTTCCGTTTTTCGGAAAAAAATTGTAGGTTAAAAGATAGCTGAGTTAACCTCATTTCAAAAACTTCCATCTATAATCACATGTACCGTTGCAACATATTTCTTTATTTTGATAACATTTGCATAAAAATTTTATAATTTGCAAACGCAATTGCCAAGAAACTGCAGGCAACTCTGTTTATTGATTTTCAAAACATCAAAGAGTTTTAAGTGTCATAATAACAAATCTGTGCTTATCTTTAACCTCGAGGATATAAACGATTTGCTGTTAAACATCGAACATCGTAAAACAGTTGAGATTAAATTTTACGTTAATAATATTCGGTTAAAGTCGAATCACGGGGTTTTATCTGATATTTAATATAGAAATTCTCTACAGGAATGACTGAATGTAAGTTACTGATATCGACAGATGAGCACTTCATATTGATCAAATGTTTTGATATTTTTAGATCGGTAACGGAAGATAACACCCAAACATAAAACTGTAGGTAGCTTTTCATTGAGGCTTTGTTTACACCCAGCGTTCGAATCCTATTCTATTCCGCGTGGAGTGGATTCAAGCAACCGTTCCCATTTGAATCCTTCCATTCGGAATGAGTGGATTGGAAGTCAAACAACACAGTAAAGAATAACCAAATTAGTAAATAATTCCAAATATAAACTGAATGATACATTTATAACTTGGAATTAGTTCAGAAATACAAAATAATGAGTCAAAAAAGATTATTAGTATGTTTAGATTTGCAGTTGATGGGAAGGAGTTACAGATAGATAAAATATAAGCGGTATTGATAAAACAGTGTACTATGAAAATAAGTAAAAGTAAAACAATGGTATTAGTATACAAAACAAAAAAAAGTAGGGAAACAGTGAATATAAAGACAGGAGACGAAATATTAGAATATTAGAAGGATTTTCGGTATCTATAAGAAGTCAGATAATTCAGGATGGAAGAAGCAGTAGAGATATAAAACAAAGGATAGCGCAGGGTCGACTCTAACAGAAGTCACCTCTGTGCTCGCGAACGGTTAATTTAGACATTTCAAAAAGATTGTTAAAGGTGTATCTCTGGAGCCCGGTGCTGTATGGGTGCGAAATGTGGTCGTTGGACGTGGGGAAAAAAAAAGGTTGAAAAAAAAGGTTAGAAGCGTTCGCAAGCCCCTAGCGAAGTTCTCTGTTTGGGTGGGGGGGACCCAATCTAATAACGAGCTGCTTTTTTATTTTTTCAACTAAAGTATTACACTCACAAGCTCAAAAACATGCATTTATAAATAAAAAATAATCATCAAACATTAATCGTAAATGAACTTAATTTCATTCACTTGTAGTTAATGAGATAAAACTGCTGCTGCTGTCACTGCCCCGCCGGGAATCGAACCTGAAAAACATTCTTAGAGAATTGATAATAAAAGTAGTAGATACCTACCTAATAAAATAGGTTAATATCTCATTCGCCTGTGTTTAAATTTCGACCATAAATTCACTATATTGTTTAGACCAAGAGCATCGCAAAGGTCATTTACGCTTTTGTCGTCGTTAGGGCATCGAGTCTCACCTCTGTAATTATTTTTAAGTAAACTAATCTTTTCTCGTTCGAAGCTACCGAAAAGCTCGCTGTGAATATTAGCTGACAAAACCAAAAAGCTTCCCCGACAGCTATTTTATAAAATACTACAAACGGCACAGTGAACGCCATCTGTAGCACGATGCTACATTTTAGGATTACGTATTTTTCAACAAGGTCCACTTGTGTGGATATCTACCTGCTGAAAACGAATCCCGCGTAGCCAACCTCAATGTGATAGGCACGTTAGCTTAATCGAATAAAATAATTCGAAGTGGTCTGTATTCTGTCGAAACTGCCCGACGCGGATCGCGATTTCGATCTTTTTGGATCTCATCAGCGCGGCGCAGGCAGCTCCGACAGAACACAGACCAACTTTTACCTGCTGTCTTAACAGTGCGTTTCAGAAAATACTACAAACGGCACAGTGAACGCCATCTGTAGCTATTTTATACTTAGCTGCCAACTTCATGATGCCTTACATAGAAAAGCATATATCAAATGATATCTCTAACTACATAAGAAGAGCTTAGAACTTAGGCATGTGATCAGGTGGATACAGCAGAATCAATTTATCAGTATTTACACTTGTAATATTTTTTTTGTCTAAAAAGTTTGTGAGAATTTTTGATATTGAATTCAGAATTCTATACAACCATTTTGACTTTATCTTGTAAAAAGATTGTAATTTTATCTTAAACGCTTAAAAATTCTTT